CACCATGTTCTTCCTTGATTCTGAACACCCACTTATTTTGCAATGCTCTCTTTCCTACTGGTAGGTCAGTCAAAAATCAAGTTTTATTTTTCTCAAGTGAGTTCATCTCCTCCTGCATGACTAACTCCAACTGAGTTGCATCATCCATCTAAAATGTCTCATGATAGACAAAGACTCTCCATCGTCAGTCAACAACAAGTAATTTGTTAAAGAAGGAAATATACGAGGAGGCCTAATAAATCTATTGGACCACCTCACTTCAACTACTAAGGTGACATGAATGGTCTCCTTAACAGTCCTGTCTCCTGAGCTCCCAAATATTTTTGCATGATTATCTACTATAATGTCTTCAAACATTATTTTTTCTTTCTTTGTTGGCTTCTTTTCAGTTTCAGCTTTTGTCTCAAGTTTATCCTTGTATACCACATTTTCATTAAATGTAACATCTTTGCTTCTAATGATTTTTTTGTTTTGATCATCCCAAAGCAATATCCCATATCATATGCTCCATAACCAATAAAAATACATTTTCTTGCTTTCGGATTAAGCTTCTCTTAGACAACATATTTAACACAAACATAAAAAACACAACTGAATACTTTCAAATGAGAAAGACTTACATCTTTACCTTGTTATTCGTCCTCAGGAATCTTGAACCCTATGGGAACTGAGAAACCTCGATTAATGAGGTATTCTATTGTGCTAATTGTTTCTACCCAGGATGTCTTCGGTAACCTTGCACGGATTCTCATACTTTTTGGCCTCTTATTCAAGGTCTTATTCATTTTTTCAGCCATGTCATTCTGTTGAAGTATCTCATGAATAGTTTTAAGCATTCTAATTCCATTCTCAGCATAATAATCAACAAATTCAATACTACTATATTCACCACCATTATCAAACTTTAAACATTTAATTTTTTACCCTGTCTCATTTTCACCAATGAATTTCCACTTCTTAAATGTATTAAATACTTATGCTTTTTTCTTCAAAAAACTAAACTCATTACTTTCTAGTAGCATCATCAATGAAGGTGACATAGTTTCGTTATCCTCTCAATGATGAGTTTGATGTTGACCCATACACATATGTATGAACAAGTTTCAACTTCTTTACTTTAGGCATCCTCCCTGACTTAACAAAATTAACCTTTTTTCTGCTTCTCAAACACACATGGATCACAGAAACTAAGTTCTACCTTTTTCAATTTTGGAATTTCCCCCCCCCCTGAGCCTAGTATCTTCATACTTGCTCATGTGACTAAGTCTTTGGTGCCACAAAGTCAAAGGATGACACAAAGTCAAAGGATGACCAACATCATCACTAATTGAATTTACTTCTTCTACAGGTAATTTTGTCATGTATAGGGTTCCTTTCTTCCAACCATGAGCAACAATTAAATAACATTTCACCACCTTCCATTGACATTCTCCGAGTATGACTCGATATTCTTGAACATTTAGCATACCCATAAAGATTAACATTCTATTAAGTCCTGAAATATATTTGACATCTTTAAGTGTTTAGACTATACTAAAAGAAGTTTAAAGATTGATATCTCTCATTTATGTGATTTCTAAAGTTTCATCATCTATTAGACGAATTTTGCCAAAATTCCCAGTTTTGAAATTTTTCATCAAGTCCTTGCAAGGAGAAACATGAAAAGATACACTAGAATCCATGATTTAGGATTCAAACTTTCTCTTAACACAACATATTAACGCATAATCTATGTCTTTTTATGTTTCATTTACTGTGTTATCATGCCTTTTTCTTTAGAAGTAGTACATTGATTTCTAAAGTGACCATTTTACTGACAATTTCAACAAGTAGTATCATTGCGAGGTCTGGACTATCCTTACTTCTTGGACTTTGATCTGTCACACCTAGAACATTGTCCTCTTTCAAGCTTTCTACCTCTAACTTTGGTGCTCAATAAGAAACTTACTAATTCTCCAGCTTTCCTTCTACAAACATTCTCATTAAGGATTAAATTCATAATTCCTTCAAAGGTTAATTTCGTAGTTCTAGATGTACTAGCTACTACCATAAAAATTCCTGACTAACTATCAAGCAACAAAGATAATAACATTAGGGCTTGTACTTTATCATCAAATTTAATATCCACTGACATTAATCTTAACAATAAGGAATTGAATTCATTCACATGATCTGTAACACTAGTACCTTCTCGCATCTTCGTATTAACTAACTTATTGTTTGATGTTGACGACTTCTTGTACATGTTGACAATGTCTTTATCAAATCATATGTTGTCTTCTCGTTGACGATATTATAGGCAACGTTTTTTACCAATGTTAATCTGATGACGTCAAAAAATTTTCGATCTAGCAACTCCTAATTTGTTTTAGACATCATTTCTTGTTTATTCTTAGAAAAAAGTTTGGTACATCTTCTGATACAAATAATCTTCAATATGCATCTTTCAAAATTCGAAATCACTTCATCAAACTTGCCAATCTTCACCTTTTTGTCTTTTGCCATTACTTTCACTCATGTGAAACCCTAAGCTTTTGATTTAAGTTATTGGGGTAACACAAATGCAATTTCTTAGACACGAGTAAAATTGCAAGACAAAGGTAAATAACAATAATAGAATAAATTTATGTGATTCAATCAAAATAACATACCTTCATAACTGCACTAAATAGTAGTTATCAGACTCTATATACTAAACACTTTTCTCTAGAGTCAACAATGGATATACGATAACGAGAATGCTTGATGATATTATATATGCTTGAATACATTTACACGCATAATTAAAATTACTATTGTATATGTTTTCTGTCAGCACTTACAATCATCCATAGTTGACATGTTCATTGGTTACAATGCTTTTCAACATGGTAAATTACATAAGGATGTTTTCACGATCCTGATCCCTCCTATTAGTATGACAATAGTTTCTCCAAATAAAATGTGCAAGCTCGTGAAGTTATTTTATAACTTGAAACAAACAAGTGGACAATGATATAAGAAGTTGTGCTCATTTGCATTTATATATATATATATATATATATATATATATATATATATATATATATATATATAAATAAAAGGGGACCAAAAATTTTAAATGAAGAGACCAATATATGAAAATTAATTATTATTATTATTATTATATATAAATAAATACATTACATATTTAATGTTACTAATTAAATTTAAAATTTATAAAATAAAACTTATTTCATTTATTCTCTTTTTCTTTTAAAATATGAGGTTATAATTTTATTTTTAGATATTTTTAACACTCGAATTAAATTTTTTTATGTTTTAAAAATATTAAAATATCGAACTAACTAAATTATAATAAATTAAGAAATTTATATCAAATAGTACATTACACGTGCTAATTTATTATAAAAATAAACATAAATAATAAAAAGTAGTTTATTATTATTTTTTATTTAAAACATTTATTATGAAGTATCTCCTTTATTTTATAATTTTTTACTTATGCCTTCTTTATAAAAAACAAAAAAGAAAACTAAAGAATAAAAAAATTATAACTTTTTTGTTATAGAGATGAAATTAAAAAAAGAAAAATTTGAAAAGTGGAGAGAAAAATTTACAATTTTTATGTTGTAGGGTGAAATTGTGAAAGAGAAAAATATGAAAGTGAATCAGTGATAAAAATAAAATATAGAAATATGAAAAAATAAAAGGAGTTTCTCATTGAAAAAATTATAGTAAAAAAATGAAAAGGTAAGAAAAGAAAGATAAAAACCTAAAATTAAAAAGAAGAAAGAGAAAAAAGTGCAAGTAAAAAATTAGATAAAAGAATAAATTTGATATTTATTATACATAACAATTAAAGAAGAAAGGATAAAAAATTTTAAATTTTTATCTATATTTATAAAATAATTTTTATTTAATTTTCAAAAATTAATATATATATATATATATATATATATATATATATATATATATATATATATATATATATATATATATATATATATATATATAATTAGGTTTACGGTGGGAGAGATGTAGCCTGTTGGCCCCGTAATTCCGCCTATGTAGATGATCCTGTGTTGTTTGTGAATTGGTTAAATGAGAAAAATTCAGTGAAAACAACTCTTCATTCTTAGTTTGGTATAAAGGGGGTTTTAAATTGCTTCCTTAACTCAGAAGTAGCTCTCAGTTCTAAAGGGATTTCACTATATCAAAGACAATATTATTTTGGATGTTTTGTTGGATTCTGGATGATAGGTAGCACCCATCTTGAACCAAGCACAATTTTTCACGAAGATGACAGCCCTTTCTATGAAGACACACTTATAAAGAACTTTTGAATCATTGGATTTTTATTCTTGTCGGGCATAATTGACACGTTTTTATACTTAATAGACATATTTGTTGATTTGTTATTTCTTGAATCTTTTGTTGAATATATGTTTGGATCCTATAACAAAACCCTATTATAATTCTTTTGTATTTGTTTGGATCCTTGGATCAGTGTTTTAAATTTTTAATTCTTCAAATTTGTTTTGTATTAGATGTCTTCCATACTAGACTACAACATGACTTGAGATTTTCTGTTACGAACAAATAAATCAATTAGAGAGGTGATATATGACAACCATTTTAAACAGACATATATGTTGGAAATGGAAGAATGAAACCATTGTAACAAAAGATCCTCACAGACCTTTGGGTGCAATAAGTTGTATATGACAATGGCTTATCTTCCTACTTGATGTTACAATCACTTGACTCAAGCCACTGTTTTCTTGTAGTGTGATTGCTCTGCACATTACTATCGATTCAGTGTCTATCTCTATCAATATATATACACACACTAAAGTAGTTTTCCATGCATATAACTAGAGTTTTCAATTAAACATTTGAATTGATCAACAATAGCACAGGCATGAGATAAAACAAACCGAAAAACTGCAAGTAAACCAAGGATGTCAACAAGTCTGTCTGCAAACTCAGAAGTTTTGCGGACACAACTGTAACCTTAATCAACTGTGGTTGATGAAGGAAGCAATTCGATGGAGCAAGGTGACAGCGTTATCAGAATCTGGATTGAACAAATGAAACACGTGGCCTTCTCCTTTGGACTCTATCACATCCACAACACCCTGCCACTCACTCTTCTCTAGCAACTCCTTGTAATACCAGCCCCTATCCTTCAACCAATCGTTCTCAGCAACACAAACCAACACTCTCTTGCAAGCCAGCTTCCCCAGATTCGGGTCTTTAGCCGGGTTCACCAACGGGTCGTCAGATCCGGTCGAGGTTGGGCAAACGAAGCGCCACACAACATCCCCCATGGCATGCTGTTCCGGAGTTCGGGCCTCACAACCAATTCGCTCCACGCCCCAAAAGAAAGGATGCACCAAAGCAATCCCTTGGAGGTTGAAACCCGGAAGCCCCAGGGTCCCGACCCGAATAGCCATGTGGTGTGCGATGTTTGCTCCCGCACTATCCCCGGCTAAAATCACGTTTTTGAAATCAGCGTGGCGGTTGAGCCAGTCCTCGGGGCCGTTTCCGTTGAAATGGGAGGCGACCCATTTGAGCGAAGTCCAGGAATCTTCGTGGGCGATCGGAACGGGGTGCTCTGGGGCTCTTCTGTAGTGAACGGAGACACCAACGATGTGGGCCTTGGAAACGATTGAGTTGAGAAAGTTGTGGAAAGGAGGTGAATAGGGGGTGTGTATGCAGAAAGCGCCGCCGTGGAAGTAGACGAGGAGAGGGAGCTTCTGCGTTTGGTTAGGATCGGTGAGATTGGGAAGGAAGATTCTGGCTGATACGTCGTCGTCTTTTGAGATAACGACGTCTTTGGATTCGACGTTTGTTGCAGGGTCATGAGACGGCGGAACGACATCGCAGCCCAACAATCTGTGGACGCGACCGTCTTTGTAGATTTTCAGACGCGGTGAGAAGTCGATGGCTACTTCGCTGGAGTGGGAATCCATGGCGGAAAGCAACGAGGAAGGTGGGATGATTAATTGACACTCTAAACATTTTCAATATTTAACCAAATAAATTAATAATATTATTAATAATATTTTATTAATATAATTAATTGCAGGGAAGTCCATGTAAAGTTTTCATTTTCTAATCTTGACATACCAGGACTGTAGATGGTTTTGATGAGTCCGTCATTAGTACGAAGTTTTGATGAGTCCCATTTTTGGTTGTCGGCCTTTAATTTGTCATAGAGTAGTACAGTAGACCCCAGATCTTACAGTAGTTGTCAGAGATCCTTTATTTTAAAAATGGTTAGAGCTCGATTAGGTTTTTAGTAGCATTTATTACATTCCATTGAAGAATAAGAGATACTTTTTGAGAAAAAAAAAATTAGAAAATAAAAAAATTTGGGACGTTGTCCCACCTTCATTTACCATCTTCCTATTTTTTTAGATGGACATCCCATCTCACAAATGTTCAGACGGTCGTGTTGACTTGTCTAACACGAATTTTTATAAATAAGGACTTATTTTTATCATTTTTAATATATTTTCATACTTTTTTTCATTTTAGAAGATATTCTAAACTTTTAGGTGATTCTGAGTATTATTTTGAAATCTGAATATTCTTTTATACACTTGCGAATTGAGTTTTCCTTTTTTTTTTTTTTTTTTTAAGGGAGAAGCCACCTTGTAGAATGAGGGATCACCAAAAAACATCTTTAAGTTTTAAGATTTTATAAAAGTTTGTTTCGAAGTTTTTTTCTTTATTATCTCTTTTATCGTTTTTCTTTACTATTTTTCCTCTGTGTGCATTAGATATTAGAGTCATATAGATAGTTATTTAAAAATCTTTCCTACAAAGGGGTCACTACAAGAAAATCGCGTATTTCCAACAAATTTTTACCGATAGATTTATAGTTGTTGGAAAATAATCATTATCGACGGAAATTACCGACGGATATAAAATATTTGTGAAATTTGATGTAACCGACAGATATATCCATCGATAAAATAATAATTAGTTACCGACAAATATATCCGTCGATAAATTTGTTGATAATTTATAGATGAATTTATCGACGGATATATCCGTCGGTAAATCCGTCGATAAATTAACAATTAATTACCGACGGATATATCCGGTCGAGAAATTCATATATAAATTAACAATTATTTATCAACGGATATTATCGTCAAGTAAATTAACAATTAGTTACCGACGGATATATCCGTCGGTAAAATTATATAATAATTACTTAATATATTTTAATAATTTAATTATTCACCTAATTCAAAAATAAAATATTTTTTATTTAATAATTTAATTTAATCATAATTAGATTAATTTATAATAATTTATTAAATTAAATAATTTTAAAAAATAAATATTTAATTATATATAAATATATAAACATATAAATATATTTGTATATTTGTATATAAATATAATTTATTTGTAAATTATTATCAAAAAATTCTAGTAGCTTAGTGGTTGGAGTATCGACCTTTAACTCTAAGGTATCGAGTTTGAATCTTATCAATGACAATTCTCTTAATCTAATAATAATTCAAAGCTATAAAGAAATAATTAATAATAAATAATAAGAATATAAAGGGGACGAAGTTCTATAAAAAAAATATGCTATAAATAAGTAAAATATTAAAATTATTACTTGATCGATTTTGATCTGTCAGTAATTTTAATTTTTAATATTTCTTGTAGTGGGCGTTGTGGGGTGCTAACACCTTCCCCACACGTAAATAACTCTCTTATCCAACTCTGGTTATAATGATCAAAGTTTGTTTTCTTAAAACCAACGTCTTCTTCAGTGATGGATCTTCTTAGGAGTCGAGGGGGGCCGTGACCCCCTCAAAGTTTTGTAACTCTCATCTAATTTATGATTTTGGCTCCCCAAACTTAATGAACATTTAATATATTTACTTGTATATTTACAATTTTATGCTTTCAATCTCTGGTCAGTTTTGTAACTCTCATATAATTTATAATTTTGTTCCCCCTCAACCTTTTTGTAACTCTCATATAATTTATAATTTTGTTCCCCTCAAACTTAATGATCATTTAATATATTTAAGTATATATCTACAATTTTATCTTTTTACCTTTTCTTCTTCTTTCTTCCTTTTATATTTATTTATTAATAATATATTATTTGTCCCCCAAGACCAACGGCCAAGATCTGCCGCTTACCTTCTTTTTCTTCCTTTTTCGATGTTTATGGTCAAAACATCGGTGACGACTCCATAGAACCTTTTTTACGAAAACCTTAATTTTTAGGTTAAGTTCGATTATCGGGCAACCTAAAGATGATGACCAAACATATTTTACAAAAACGCGAATCACAAACCATCGCGTCATGACCACTTGTATTTATCGTTTCCCTATACCCATGACGATAGAAAGGTTATTTCAATTTTCCTTTTTAAGAGATTAACAAGTTAATTTGATAATAAAATTATATATATATATATATATATATATATATATATCTTTTAAAAAGTATATATTTATTTATATAAAATTAAATTTTTATTTATTGCAAGCTTACAATATAATATAGATTTCAACAAACTTAAAAAAAATGAGTGGATTCAAATCACTTGTGCTTAATCTTTTCCCATTTAATGTCTTGGTAATAAAATTTTGACTCCTTGCTTACAATTTCTACTTACATTTTTTTTTCTTTACTAAGTGTTAGTGTAAAACAACATAACTTCGCATCATTGTAATATTAAGTTTAAAAAAAATATAGATAACATCTATAAAAATGAAATAAAAATGCCTAAATGATATTTTAAAAGAGAAAAAAATACGAATTTTCTAATAATTTTAATGTGATGAGAAGAAAAAATAGAAATGGATGCGATATTTAAAAAAAAAAATTGGGTGTACATCAAAGTATTAATTTAACATGTTTCAACATTTTGAAGGTACATGTGTTAAGTAACCTGCTTTTGATCCGACGGTAGTTAGATTTGGGAACAAGGATAAGCAGTATCATTGATCCGGTGGAGGTTAAGATTTAAGAACAGGAAGAAGGGCCCTAAAAGGACAATGTAAAAAAGAACAGACATAAGACATTACAAGTGAAAATTTTAGGAGACTTTTCAAAATTTTATTTAGCTTTCTGCACTGGTTGGGTCGGTGGATTTTTGGTCAACTTCATCATCTAATCTGATAAAAAAATCTTGGCCTTTCCGTCGCACTAGCGATAAGTATTTTATGGTTGGGAGCTTTAGCGAGTCTAGTGATTTTTTTATGAAGGAAAGGAGGAAAGAGATTATAGGTTGAATTAAATATTATATATGTGTATTTAATTTATATATTTTTTCTTTTATAATGTTTTTATTAAATTGGATTAAATCTTTGTATTTTTTATTTAATTCAATCCAACCTAATTCATTTTTAATAGGATTTGATTGAACGGGTTTATTAGGTTATAAAATTTTAAAAAATATTTTTATTTAGCTTTTTTATTTTAAAATATATTTTTTAAAATAGATTAAATTATTTATTATTTGAATAATTTAATTACAAGTAAAGTATATAAGTTTTTGTTTTCAGTATTATTAACTTTTTTTTCTAAAATCAGAAATTTTGTGAAAAGAATTATTATATAAAAATTAATTATTACATAAAATAAATATATTATATAAAATACTAACAACATGTATAATATTATTAATTAAATTTAAACTTTAAAAATTAAAGTTTATTTTTTTATTTATATTCTCTTTTCTTTTAAAAAAAATAAGTCAATAATATTCTTTTTATATATCTTAAAACTTATTTTTTTTTACATTTTTAATATCAAAATAAAATATTATAACTAATTAATAATAAATAAATAAATTATACCAATATTTCATATTTTTATATTATATTATACATATTAAATTATTATAATAATAAATAAAAAGCAATAAAGAAAATAAAATTATTTATTATTTTTTTTACTCCAAGAAAATTATTATAAGGTGTCTTTTTTATTTTTTTAACTTCTTCTCTTATGTTTTTAATGTGAATTAAAATAAAAAATTATAACTTTAATGCTACAAAGATGAAATTATAAAAATAAATTAAAAAAATTGAAAAGAAAAAGTTACAAATTTTTATTGTAAGATGAAATAAAAAAGAGAAGAATATAAATATGAATGTATAAATAAAATAGACAAAAATATGAAAAAATGTATTAAATTTTCAATAGAAAAAGTTGAAGAAGGAAAATGAATAGGTAAGAGAATAAATGAAAAAAATATATAAAAATAGAAGAAAAAAATGAAAAAAGAAATATAACTGAAAAATTTTGTTAAAAAATAAATATAAAGATAAACAAATTAATTTTAATTATATCCTAAATATTTTTATTTAATTAAAAAATTGAGGGTGGGCCCCTCTACCCCAAATCTGCCATTGTTAATTTTTTAGTCATCATCTTCAAAAATATTAATTAATGTCATGCGGTACAATAAATGATGAGGCGTATATTTTTAAGTATTCATAAAATATAATAACATTTTTTTTAATCGTCAAAGTTCACGTTGTAATTCCAGAATCCTAGGGCGGAAAAACATTTTTTTATGCTAATTTGCAACTATGTCTAAGGAGAGTTCTAAAAATGAGTTCAGGTTTAACAATCGTGTTATTGGTTGAACCACCACTGTGACCCTTGTTGATGGTGTTGTTACCAAAGAAAGAGGACATGGTGGAAGAGTTTAGGCTTCTTCTAGAGTCAAGAACTGAACTGAGGTGCTCAGTGCTGCCCACAGAGCAACAATCATCTTTGCCCAGTGCCCAAAAAATCAGTCATCCCAAAATACTTTATTTTCAAAAGTTAACACCTTTTGATCAAAATTAGTTGTAAGTAGGTGTTTTTAAACAAAGGGGGTTGGCCTACAGAACCATAAACAAACAAAGCTTGAGAAACGAAACAAATTCAAATGCTAAAGTTTAGAAAAATGAAATTTTGGATTGTAAGAAAACTTAAATTTTAAATTTTGGTTGGATGTTCAAAATTGGTGAACACTAACTCACATCTAAGGTTTAAGCGATGGAAACTTAGCACCTATAAGTTTGTCTTTTTCTTTCTGAATTTGTGATATGTTATACTTTAAACAGTTGCGAAGGAATGAAGGAAGGAAGTCATCAGTTTTTTTTTTTTTTTTTATTGTCTGATTTAAAATATAAGAAAAGGAAAAGTCATTTGAAGAAAACTCAGAACGTTTGTCATTTTCTTTCTAAACCTGTGACCTAGTGAGTTTCAAACAGTTCTTAGAGTAAACGATGAAAATCATGAATATTATTCTTATAACCTATATTTTATTTTATGTGGGAAACACTTTTCAAAAGTTAAAAAAATATATTGCAAACATTTCTTAAATAACTTTAACGATATAGATTTTTTAAATTCTTAATAATCTCTTTTCTTAGGTATGATTTCTTTTCAAATTTATATGATGTTATGCTTCAAACAATTGTAGTGAAGGAAGAAAGTTATGGGTTTTATTTTTCTTTAAAAAATAAGAAATGGAGAAGTCATTTAAAGAAAATTCAAAAAGCTTATCTTTTTCTTGAGTTTCAAAAAGTTGTTAGAGTAAAAGAAGGAAATATTGAACGTGCATGTTTTAAGGACAAAATACTCTTTCATTTATAAGTTATTCAATTTTCTCATCTCTATTTAACGTAGAATTTTGACTCACACTTAAATTTCTAATAATTTCTCACTCAAGTATGATTCTCTTCCATGTTGAGTCATCATCTCATTCAACGCAATAAGATATGTTTGTCTGAAATTCTTATTAAGAAAACTTTCAATAAAATGATCTTTACCAACTCCAAATTGTACTCAACAAAACCAATCACATGATGAACCATTAGATCTAGTATCACTAATAATTATTTTTAAGAAGACTACAATAAAAAAATTCTAAAAAATAAAACATATATCTAAATATGTAAAAATATATGACATTATCTTTAATTCAAAATTTTCACATACTATAAATTATTCTTCTTTTTTATTTTGTTTTAGTGTATAATTTAACTTCACACTTATTAAATGCTCTTGGAGTTAATTTTTTTTTAAAGTTAACGAAGTAACTCATGATGAATAAGATGAAAAAAAAATTGTATTAAACACAAAAAAGTTCTAATACGCATAATATAAAAAACAAATTTTACCCTTTTATAATTTAATATTTCAAAAACACATATTATTTAATATATTATTTGAATAAATTAGCTCGTAGATTTATTATTACTATTAATATAAAAATTATTTAATAATTTTTATTTAATGGATTGAGTTGGAACATGGTTAGGTTAACATACAAAACTTATCATCCAATCTCTTACAAATTTTGTTAGTTTGAATTAGATCAAATTTGATCCAAAAATAAACAAATTCCAACTTTATTTATTTGAGTTGGAATGGGTCAAAATTAGTTGTGGGATCACCCAACCCTATAAACACCCATAATGACAGGGTTGACACCAGTTAAGGGACTATCCCGTTTTGTATACTTATTATTACCTTAGTTCATATTCATGAAAAACTAATATTAATATGAATATTAAGTTAATTAAATGATTTAATTGATAATTATATTAAATAATCCTGTTTTATAATTATATCACTTATATTATTAATAATTCAATAATTATTTTTTTAATGAATGAACGTTTCATTATTAAGCCATAAATAAAAAGTATTAAATAAATAATAGTCCATTTATTTTATAAATAAGAATAAGAAAAAGAAATGTTCCCATTTATTTATTACATAAATATCCAGGTGTAGAATTTCTTTTCATGCACAAGATAGCCATAACTGCAAGGAAACCAAGGATGTGAACAAGTTTGTCCGCAAATTCTTAAGTTTTGCGGACATAACTTTATCCTTAACCATGGTTGATGAAGGAAGCAAATTTATGGAGCAAGGAGACAGCGTTGTCACAGTCTGGATTGATCAAATGAAAGACGTGACCTTCTCCTTTGGCCTCCCTCACCTCAGCAACACCTTGCCACTCACTCTTCTCCAGCAAATCCTTGTAATACCAACCCCTATCCTTCAGCAAATCCTTCTCAGCAACCAAAACCAACACTCTCTTGCAAGCCAGCTTCCCCAGATTCGGATCCTTAGCAGGGTTCACCAACGGGTCGTCGGATCCTGTTGAGGTTGGGCAACTAAAACTCCACAAATTATCCACCATGGAAAGATGCTCTGTCTGTTGGGACTCAGAACCAATTCGCTCCACGCCCCAAAAGTAAGGATGAACCAGCACAATCCCTTGGAGGTTGATACCCGGAAGCCCGTGGGTCCCGACCCGAATAGCCATGTGGTGTGCGATGTTTGCTCCGGCACTGTCCCCAGCGAAGAACACATTCCCGAGATCAGCGTGGCGATTGAGCCACTCCTCAGGGCCGTTTCCATTCAAATGGGACTCCACCCACTTGAGCGAAGTCCAGGAATCTTCATGAGCGATCGGAACGGGGTGTTCCGGGGCTCTTCTGTAGTGAACCGACACACCAACGATGTTGGCCTTGGAAACAATTGAGTTGAGGAAATTATGGTATTGAGGTGAATACGGTGTTTCTATGCAGAACCCCCCACCGTGGAAGTAGACAAGGAGAGGGAGCTTTTGGGTTTGATCGGTGAGTTTGGGAATGAATATCCTGGCTGATATGTCGTCGTCTTTTGAGATTATCACGTCTTTGGATAGGACATCTGTTGCGGGATCGTGGCACGGCGGAACGACGTCGCACCCGGTGATTCTCTCGATGCTGCCGTTTTTGAAGATTTTGAGAAAGGGTGAGAAATCAAAGGCTAGCTCACTAGAGCTGGAATCCATGGCAGAAAGAAAGCAATACCCAAGACGACGCTGAGTTGCGTAGGTTGTGTGACTTAGAGAATAAGGAAAGGAATAATATAATCACGGGTGATTATTTCCAGAATAAAAAAATTAATAAAATATTAAATAATATTATTATATTAATATAATAGATTATTTGAATGGCCAATCCAACGTTTTTCTCGTACATATATAATGTGTAGAATAAATGACAACTTATGATAGGTGAGGTTGGTCAAACATTCAATGTCTATCTTACAGATATAAAATATAAATTTATTTAGATATTTAAGTAATTTTTAGTTATTATTAATTTTATTTTAATGAATAATATATAAAATATTTAAAAATGACTATTTTTTAAGTTATTTAATATAAAAAATAATTATTTAAGATTTTTTCAATAAAAAATTATCTACTTAAATATTTAAATAATTTAAATTCTATGAGATATTTATTGAAATTCTTAATTGAAATATTAATTATTCAAAGTAACATTTAAAAGGTAATATCGTAATATATTATTTAAAAAAAACTGTTAATTTTTTTATCAACTTATAAAAATGATGAAAAAAGAAATAATAATTTTAAAAAATTAATTATAAATTATTTAAATATGATATACTCCAATAAATTATATATATATATATATATATATATATATATATATATATTTTATCTTTGATGAGAATAAAAAAAATACGAATTGTTAGTTCTAGAATCAACCAACCCAACACTAACGTGTAAAATAGTCAAAATTTACCATTAACTTCATCCAAGATTTCTCTCAAGCTCTCTTCTAAGACATCATCAATCCATTGATTGAGATTAAAAGTGAGAAAGAGACCGACTCCCGGCGGTGCCGTAGAACCAAAGTCGCTTTGAAACAAAGCTCTCAACGTCACACCCCGACCCAATCAATCTTCGTCAAACAAACACCGTTCCCACCTTTAGATGTTATCGCTTTAGTGGATCTTTCGTTAAAATTGATGCTTGGCCTTTTAAAGCAAGTTTTATAAAGGATAATGACATGTTGATAATTCTTTTATAAGAAATATTCATCGGATAACTCGTTTTTAATAATACAATATTTGACCTATTGAGTAATATATTTTGCAAAAAACAGAACCATTGAAGTGCATCATCTTCAAAAGCAATTCACCAATGGGATAAACGTATATATATATTTTCATTTTCACTTTTCTCACTACAAGTAACTTTAATCATTAAATATATATCTACACAGGAGCAACTCTCCAAAGTTACTTCCAATGGTCCATAAAGTACTTTACTTTATTATATTCTTTTAATAACTTATTTGTTATTTTATAATTATCTTATTTGTCAATAATTTACAAATTATCTTATTTTCCAGCGTCAACAAATTTTATCATAACAAAACTGAGTTTTTTTATTTTTATTTTTAACCATTACTAGATATGCCCTTAGGATTCACAGATATTCTATTACATGCCACTGTACGAGGAACGAGGTAGCTCAAAACGTCACGTATATAAAAACATAACATATGACAGCAATGAATGTGGATGTAGAATTAAGTAAATATATTATTTTTAACATCTCACAAAAGGTGAGAAAAAGAAAAAGAAAAAGAAAACTTACACTAGTGATCCAAGAGACATTGACGTTGCTACCTCTTTTTCAAAACATTTGAAAATCGAACCATGAAAAAATTGTGAGCCAACTTTGACCGCTGATTTTGTAATTAAAAAGGCTTCATTTCTGTCTCATCTCTCGTTCCCACATGTACGTACACCTACTTACCATCATTTTACCATTGTTATCATTAAAACAAAAGATGACGTGGAATTTATTATTTTTAACTTGATAGAGATAAGATAATTAGGTATTATTAATTTTATATAATCAAATTAAAAATATCTCTACAGTAATGATGTTTCTAATGACCCTTAAAGTCGTCAATCGGAAATGCATAGCAATTATTTTAATTTTAATTTTTATTACAAAATTTATGATATATACATATTTTGTAAATAAATTATGGGAAGAGAGAGATTTAACCGAAACAGTGCATCTAGTAATAAAGCGATTTCAACGAGATAACTAGAAATTAGAATAAATTCATAAATGTATAAACAAATAATTAATATACACGAGGTGAATATTTTTCTTTTAAAAGGATTGTTGAAAATTTTCATGCTGATAGCTATTAAAACCAAGATTTGAAGAGTGGTTTGCATTTTTTGTAAAATATTAAAAGAAAGCACCATCTCATTAGACCTTAGAAAGCATAAATAAACAAACAAAAGAAGATAAACCAGAGGGAAAATATTACGATGCTCGTTTTGGTCCCAAAAAAAGTGCAGATGGATTGTTTATCTTGATTCGTTATAATTTTTTAAAAATAATTTTTTTTAAATTAAAATTTTCAATAAATTTAATGATAAAATTATAATTGTCAATAATTTAATATATATATATATATATATATATATATATATTAAGATAATATAAATTAATATATTATTTAAAAAAATTATAATTTAAAATAATATTAAAATTTATATAATAATAAATAATAACAAAATATATATATATATATATATATATATATAATATAATATAGTATAATAGAATATGTCAAAACATGTGAAATTTATATTTTTTATATTGAAAAATTTAAAAATTTATATTTTTTTATAAAACTTTATATTGTTATCCACCAAGTAATTTTTATATATTTAATTCAAGTTAGGAGGATACAAATAATCAATATTCAGGATGAATAAAAAGAAGATGATGAACAATAACTAGAAGATTAAAGAGAAGCTTGTGTGTTGATTAAAGAAAATATTTCTTATATGACCGAGTGACTTTTTTCATTCTTTTTTCACAAATTTTCACTTTTATATATAATTTTTTATTAATTAAGCGAGTCGCGAGACTAGTCGGACGGATTGACGAGCTAGTGCGAGTTGGCGGACTGAACCACCAACCCGCCCCACCATATTTATAGCATCTTTGCAGTACAGTCCAGTTGGACTGACCCATTTTACTATTTTTAGAAAATATGCATGTAGCATTAGTTTATTCTTGCGCTCGTAATATCTTTTTTCATCCATATTTATCTAAAAATATAATATTTTATTTAATACATAAGTTTCAGATTTATTTTTTGATGAATCTTCTAAAATGAAATTTCTAAAAATATTTTGGATTAATTTTTCTGAAAATATTTTTGAATCAGTTTCTAAAAATTTAAAAAATCAGAAAACACCTTCTTAAATATTTTAATAAAGTTTTTGATAAAATCAATCCAAAATATTTTAACTTTTATATTAAACAATCTAAAATATATAAAAATGATATTTTTTACATTTAGGAATGAGGAATCGAGAAATATTATGAATTAATAAATCTAAAAGTGAGGTAAAAAACTTCTAAATTAATGAATTCAAAATTTTTAAATTGAGGGATCTGAAATAAAGGTTGATAAAACAAATAAGTTTCTTGATACATTGAACAAATAAATTTCAAGATGAATGGGTGTAGACCCCAAATCTTGCCCCACCTCAAAACAAAGAGCATAAAACTTCCGTTCAAAGATGGGCAAGGCCTAAAAGATCCCTAGGATTGATCAATATGCCCCATATTAGAATAGGAAGGAGTTTTGTACATGAAAAATAAAGAAATTCCACCTAAAGGGTCGAGACTGCTGTCTCGTTTGGCGAGACCGCCGTCTCGTTTGGCGAGATGGCGGTCCTGACCTTGTCAGGCGAGACGGCGGTCCCGACCTGACAGGTGCAAATTCCTATAAAAGGGGGGACCTTCTCACTCTTTTAAGGGAATTCTACCACTTTCCCTTCTGTAAAATCTTTGAATTATTTTTCTAACCCCTCTGAAGCATTTCCAGAGTTTTTTAGAGTTCTTAGAAAGGTTCTAAAGTGTTCTTAGGAAGCACCCTCTTTCAAAGAACTTACTATAAAAAAACTTGCTTCGAAGGTTTTTATATATTCCATTTTCTACTTTACTGCTTTTTAGATAGTATTATTGTGCATTAATCATTTAGGGTCATGTAGTCAATAATTTAATTTTTGCAATGAATAAATAAGAGTAAAAACACAATTTAGAGTTATTATTTCTTTATAAAAACGATCCATCATAGGGAACCCGAAAGGGGCGTCGTAGGGAAGCTAATACCATCCCTACACGTAACTAACTCCCTTACCTAACTTTGGTTATAATGACCAAAGTTGGTTTTTCTTAGAAAACAACTGCCTTCTTTTCCTTTTCCAATGTTTCTGGTAAAAACATTGGTGGCGACTCCTTGAACCTTTCAAAAACCTCGCTTTTTAGCTCCAGTCCGGTTATCGGATAACCTAAAAAGCGTTGAACCACACTTTTAAAAACGCGAGTCGAACAAAACCATCGCGTTGCTCCGACCGCCTCTTTTGAAAGCGGCGACAAATGGCGACTCCACGGAGAAAGCTAGAGAGTTGATCCCATTTAGTGATTGACTAGGTTTAAGAAATAAAACTTAAAATTGCGCCTTTACCCTTCCTTGTTTTATAACATGTTTTAATTGCTTGACTTTAATAACTGTTGCTTGTTTATTTTACGCAATTGTTTGAAATACAGACTGTACACAAACCCTTGCATACAACAGTTCCCCCTATACACGTGGGCAAGTGGGATATCCATAGGGAGTGGGTGGCATTGTACGATTTGTCGTAGTGAGGGCCATGAGCCCACCGCTATGGTCAGAAACCACCACTCAAGGTGATAACCTTCCTCTTTTGGCCCAAAGACTGACTAAGGTCTTAGTGCCATGCATGGTCTGAAGGCTGGGAGAGTGGGGACCCTATAATGGGGGCACCTTGTGGGTCTGGCCTTGGTGAGGAAATTTAGAACTATCCTGAATATGCACTCTTCTGCAGGATACCCCTACCTCATGATTAAAAACGTCGTCCTACTGTTCGCGGATGAGTCAACTGTATGTGCATTTGTTTGTTGCATAG